ACTCATAGAATCAAACACTAGAGTGGCGATTGCTAGGGGCTGGGGAGAGAGGAAAACGAAGAGTTACTAATGACAGGCATAAAATTTCATTTAAGTAAGGTGAATAAGCTCTAGAGATCTGTTTGTGCAATATCATTCCTGTAGTCTACTGTATTGTGCACTTAAAATTTCTTTAAGAGTGTAGACCTCATGTTATGTTCTTACCACAATTTTTTAAAAGAAAGACCAGAGAGGTGTTTGCAGTGAGTTTACACCTATGATAGGTGGTATCACTTTTCTTTCCTCTCAGGTACTCTTCTCTGATGGTTTATAAGTTGCCAGTGGAAGATGTGCAACCTTTAGCCCAAGCTTTCTTCAAATTAGAGAAGGGTAAGAACTATAACTTTGAAATACGACCCTGGAAAGAAGATAATGTCAAATAATAAAATAATCCATTTGCATGACAGAAATAAAATGGGACATAATGCATTAAATTTAAAAGTTAAAATCTCAAATTGAATTTTAGGAGCAGCAAAACCAGGGAGGTGGAGGAAATCAGTGTGTGCATGTGGCAGAGAGTAACGGGAGTGATTTTTACTTTTGCTTTGTGGGTTTTTTCCCAGGTATTTTTGCATACATATTGGTATACCCTAAGTCAAAACTCAGTTATATATGCATTTAAGGAGAATACTTTCTTTTGGAACATTGATGCATACATACTTAAATTAAATTTTGTATGAACTAGCATATTATTTTATTGCCTTGGGCTATATATGAAGAAATTGACTCCTATCTGGTTGGTGAAACAATCTCCTTGGGTCTGTTGCATTTTAAAACTGACCACACTGCATGTCATTACAGGTTCATGTTTTCCTTGCCTTTCTAGCCCACTAACTCTGCCGCTCTGGACTGTACTGGTAAAGAACTCCCTCCTTGTACTGTTTTCATTGTCACTGCTCAGTGATATGTCTTTGCTTGCTTGTTGCCTGCCCTAAGGAAGAGGTTCAGATCTCCTGGTTCTGGAAGAGACCTCTGACTCCTGTTGATAGCATCTATGGTCACAGGGATGCATCTTCTTTCTATTCTCTGGGCTGAGCACCCCAAATTTCTGGACCATGTGGTCATTTACAGTGCTCCTCAGATGGTCACCAAGCCCAGTATTGGCATGGGACTTTTGGTGGCATATTTCCACTCTGCTGGGCTTCTATCAGAGCTCTGTCTTATTCAGTCTATTTTAGTCAACAAGGAGGGTTTGCCACCCAGTTAGGGCAATGGCTTTTGGGAAGAGATCCGTGAAAATATCTGCTCACTAGAAAACCTCAGACATCCTCCTCTGTAATCTCCTGATGCAACCTGCAACCTTTTTCAAAATGTGTCTTTCTTCCACATCTTCCTGTGCTGAATGTGCAAAAACACCAGCTCATGTGCAGAAAAGGAAGCTCTCTCAGCATCATTTCCTCCCTTAAATACAGATCTTAAAAACTGCACAACATACAAGCATAACACAAGCACTCCCCCCAACCCCCGCCAAATCTAAATAAATGCATTGGTGTATTTTTAACTAAATAATGTACTCAAGACACGAACAAATATTACCTTAACCTGTTTATTTAAATTTTTAAAAAATGTGTCTGTATTGCATGTTGACTTATCAGACTATCTAGATATAAAAATATATGAACTTCTGATACACATTCATCCTTTATGCAGTTAAACAGAGCTTCGACCTGGAGGAGTACAGCCTCTCACAGTCCACTCTGGAGCAGGTAGGTCATTTTAGTGATTCTACATCGTCCATGGAATGTTAGCATATGATATGTGCATACTCTTTGCACTCACTTGGAGCTCCAGGAGGCAGTGTGACATTTTTCTGCTCTCTTTCTTTCTTTCCTCCCTCTCAGGTTTTCCTGGAGCTCTCCAAGGAGCAGGAGCTAGATGATTTTGATGAAGAACTTGATCCCTTGGTGAAATGGAAGCTCCTCCCACAGGAAGAGCCTTAAAACCCCAAATACTCTGCGTTCCTGTTTAACTCTGTGGCTATTTTTTTAAGACATTTATTTTTATAGCATCAATATCACATTTTTAGAAACCGTATGGTAAACACTGAGATGGTTCTTTGTGTGGTGCAAGTGTGGGTAAATGCAGCAACTGCTGTGGACAGTCCTGCCTTTCACAGCTTCTGTATCCCTGCAGGCCACCCTGGCTCCATGGTTCTGTATAATGCTGAATAAAAAAGAAGACACTTTTATAAGATTAAGTTTCTGAGTATGATAAACAAATTTTGTTTAATTTTTTTTAATCAAAGCTTTAAAACACTTTTTTCTAACCTAGACTGAGAAATTCATATATTTACTCTTACGAGAGGTTGATACTTGGTAAAGTTAATACTTTAGTCAGAATTTAAAAGTATCATATATTTGAAATAGATTTTAGTGTATTTCTTATGGCTAAAAATACTAAAACATCATTGATCATAATATCCTATATCAATATATAATATTTATCCACTGGTAACACTATAATATAGACACAATCTGGAAAACCAAAAACTTGCTATTAGGAGTTTATTGCACATTTTTTTTTTATTTCTGTAAACCAACTGTGTCCCATTTTCATAGTATTTTTAAATCTAGGCTCTAGAGATGCCTATATTGTAATTGATCTTTTGTGGATATTTGTCATTTAGTTTCAGGAAGTGGGTAAATGTAGCAGATTAAATGACAGAACAGATGAAAAATGCAAAATAAATTTCAAAATGTAGTTTTGAAATCCATTTTCTATTTCATGTGTATTTTTTTCCCTTGACTCAGTGGCCTCCAATTTACAGATTTCATTGAAATCTCATTTAAAATAATTTATAATATAAGTGTAATTGGTAGCATAAACTGGTGAAGGTATAGATACTGGACTTTAAGACCATAATAGGATTTTCTGCTACACTGGTGTAAGGAAAGTAGAAAAAGTTTAGTCAAGCTCACTCACCTCCTATTTGTTACAAATGGGCAAGATTCAGCACATTCACTAGAAAAAAGTTATAAAAGTAGTGTAACTGCACATGTGTGCCCATTTACTGATTCAGCATGATTGTTGCAATTATGTAATGCACGGCTTGTGGCCGCTATTGTGTGTACTATGAGTATAAAGGGAATTGCTCTGAATCGCTGGTCGGCAGAGCCCAGAGGGAAGGCAGAGCATGGTGGGTCAGCAGAGCTCATGTCTGAGAATAAAGCATGTCTGTGAAGCTCACATTCGAAGAATAAAGTATGTCTACCTCGCATAAAGCTGCCAGTATCTTCTTTCGATTACCTGACTCATGACCTCCACAGGAAGGGGCAGAAGGATCTGAGATTCCAGCCCACTAACTAGCATTTAGACTAACGTTTTTGATGTTGACCTTGTTATTACCCTTGCCTGCCAAATGTCATAGTTAAATTCCAATTACATGTGCTTCCTGGGCCCACATCCCTACATGTTTATGACCATAAAGTCAGGCAATTATCATAGAGGAGAATACTATTCCTAATTGCTTGAGTTTAAGTTTGCCTACCTAACCTTCTGTGTTATACAGAAAGATGTTGGGATTTGGAATCCCAAGAAATCCATGTCTAGAGGTTGGCCTCTTTCTAGATGTATGTTTATGAGTAAATCCCACCACCCTGACAAGCCTCAGTACACTAGTGAAAGGGTCCCAGGCAATAAAGTCTTCTCATTTATATATATATATATATATATATATATATATA